CATTTTTAACTTAGTACGCCATAATTTTCTTTTACGACGATGGCAACACTGATATTGACAACTTTAAGTGATCAAATGAATTACCAAGTGAATCGCGCTGCAGTTTGATATCAATTTAGATTCAAAAAAATATTTTTTTAAATAAATTTGCGAAAACCTATGAACAATATTTCCTCGGAACTTATTAAACATGAAGAATTTCAAAGTGAATACGGAGAACACAAAACTGTTAGTAATGCGAGAGAATAAATGAACATTATGTTCGACTTCGCACTTTTCTGCTCTCATGTAAGTGTGCAAATACCGATTTTCAAATGAATGTGACCCACAACTTAGTATGATTCAACTTAACTAACACTTTATTCACATAAACATACTAAACAATCGCCTTTTAATGTTATATTCACATACAAAACAATTAATAGAGTAATTGCCGAAGTAGACGTGAACACAAATTAAACTGAGTTTGTAAAGTTTTAACCTCTTTAAAAATTTGGAGAGAAAAATATGGAAGTGTTAAAAAACCCAATAGGGAAGAATCAAATGGAGTTGTAAAAGATGTTACGACAGAATTTTCACAACTAATTGAGAACTATCTGCTTTTTGCAGTTACGACTAGCATATGTGCAACGCGAGATAACATTGTCAGCTACTTCGATTCATTAGTAAGTCCAATGCCAGATACTGAAAGAATATATTTGAATAAAGCTGGGCATGAAAAAAGTGAAATATGAAAGAAATTTTCAACACAGAAAACTATTTTTAAACAGTTTACAGCGTCGGTTACATTTCACTAGTAACTAAAATATTTAAAATGTGTTTCAAAGGTCTGTGTGTTTTGCCAAATAAATTATTTAGACTTGGTAATAATTTTTTAATTGTAAAATAGTAAAAACATATTTTTTTCATTATAGATAATTACTTGGAACCACTGACGTCTATCATTTCCTAAAGAGAGAACTTCTTTATATTCAATAGTTGGTATAATCAAAACCTTTCCACTGTCAAAAAAATGCATTTTTAAAAAGACCTCTGTCTGATATTGATCATTGTTACCTTGTTTTGTAATATTTTTGCTATCATAAAACCTTTTTGTGAAGGGTTGGTTTGTGTATATGGAAATGAAATAGATTTAGAAAAACTAAAATAAATATTACTATAATTTTAAATGCAACAACTGATAGCATTAGACCTGCAAGTTTTAAAGAAGGAAGGGAGAGGAAGAAGTCAGGGAGTATGACCGAATTATTGAAATTGATATTATCAATTACAAAAGGAAATACATAATTGAAGTCTTTTGATCGAACGACAAATTCCATAACTGATTACTTAACGAAAAATATTTACATTTTCTAAACTATATTATTTTACTGTGCTAAAGGCATATACACACTTTGCATTTGTCTGCCGATTATGAATTCATTTCCGTGATCACGTATCTGGAAGAGATGGGACAACTAATTTAATAGATGTATTGGGTCAATTATTATGAATCGAAATACTATATAATTCACAACAAAACTAAAGAATCTTTGGTGCCACTTATAACTCATACATCAAGGGAGTATTTGACGATCTTTTGTAACTTTCATTGCACCCTTAATTAAAATGTTTATAAAGATTTCTACTTTAACCACCATTTCGTATTTAGAAAACATTTAAAGTTAATTTCATGAAA